CTTCCTTATTTATGTGTCAGCCTTCTTCATCCGAAGACTTGGAGAAACGTCTCGGACCTGCGACCCCCCGCGCGTGAGGCACGGAAGGGCTGGGTCTCCCAACAACATGATTATCCATTAAACTCCAAACTTTTCCCTTTTTTTAGCCCAAAGAATATCGGTGATTTTTGTCCACTACTAGGAAAAGAAGAGTGAGCCCAGAGCTCCTGGAATTCAGCAGAGTCCTTATTTATAAACAAGCCCGCGGTAGTGATAGGCAAAACCCCTCTCCTGCGTGAATTTTCTACCCTATGGATATTGAGCGTGAGTTTTGAGACTGGCGAGCCGCCCCGCCCTGGGTCCAGCAGCCTCCGTCCTTTCAATGCCTGATCTTCTGTGGGTCAGCTGGCCTTCCCTGAAGATCAGAGCCGTCCTCTGTGTCATGGGCTGTATTCAGAGCATCGGCGGCAAAGCCAGAGTCTTCCGGGAAGGCATCACGGTGATCGACGTGAAAGCCTCCATCGACCCCATCCCCACCAGCATTGATGAGTCCTCCAGCGTCGTCCTCCGCTACCGGACACCCCACTTCCGTGCCTCTGCCCAGGTGGTCATGCCACCCATCCCCAAGAAGGAGACCTGGATTGTCGGCTGGATCCAGGCATGCAGCCACATGGAATTCTACAACCAGTATGGCGAGCAGGGCATGTGAGTACCTCTCAGGGGGGGCAAGTCTATGTGCACTGTTGGGTAGGGGGTGGGCGGGTCAGGGGGGCTTGGAGGGCTGGGTAGGGGGTGGATAGGGGTGGTGGGTTGGGGAGAGACTTTAGCGAGGGCCCTTTTCAGGGACAGGGAATATGCTTGAGGCAAGTTTGGGAGTGACGTCTGAGACCCCTCCCCTGGGCCAAGTGACTTTGTGGAGGATTTGCTTGTGCATCCAAGTTCTAGTCGTGGTCCTAGACCAGGGGTGGGGAACCTTTTACGGCCCAGCGCCCTTTGGTGATCTATAACATCGTCCCAGGGCCCTGGCGGTCAAATGTTTAATGAACTCACCCCTAATGTGTTGGCTGGAACTTCTCCCTGGTGAGACCTGTGGTGTTAGCTGGTACTGATGCTCTTGAGGGCCATGTAAGGCCAGCAGGCCGGAAGTTCCACAGCTGGGCCCTGAAGACCTTCTCTTCCACTGTCCCTGCGTGCTCGCTGGGTGCCGAGGAAGCAGAGGAACCTTGCACCCTGTGTCTTGTTGGCAAAGCAAGTGTGCTGTCTGTCCACAGAGAGTCAGTGTCATTAGGAGTCACCAGGGAGAGGCCACTGCTTTGCCCTCGGGGCTCAGGCCTCCCTTTAAGGAGCGTGTGGCAGCTACTCAGGAAAGGAGTGTGGGGCCCTCGGACAGACGACTCTAAAGTTTTGCAGTGCGTGGTGGTTGGGCTTGTGAGTGGCCCTCCAGCGTTTTCAAGTGCACCTCTGGACCCGGGGATGTGCTTTGAGGTCCCAAACAGTATTTTGTTTGAGGGCAGGCTTAGTTCTTAGAGCCGCATTTGCTTCATAATGTAGAGCGACCTCTTTCCCAGGCAGAAGTCCACATTACAGACCTCCAAGGTTAGCTTCCCAAAGGCTCTCATCGGGCGCAGCTTGACCCAGCTCAGCCTGGCCGCTGAAATGTTCCTAGGCCTCTACAAGCCTTGATGCCAGACGCCGGGACCCGCGGCCTTGATTCCTTGGCATAGCTCCTGCCCCCAGAGGTGGCTGTTTAGAGGTGGACAGAAGGGAAAGGGATGTGGCTCTTAAAAGTGCTACTTTAAGAGCCTGACGGAGAGTATGGTTGTCGACAAAGGCGATGAAAATGACTGCTGCCTGTCATTTCTCACTCTGCTGAGAGAGATCCGCAGGCCGGCTCTGACCCCATGCCACCCACACAGCTCGGGCCGGGCACCAGCCTGGCCTCTCTCAGCTTCCCCCCCCAAGCAATCTCACTTCCTGGTTCTGCAAGTAAGGCACGGGAATTTCTCCAGGCTTGGGACTTTTTAAGGACGTGTCATGTACAGGGCCACCTGGAAATAAGAAGGGTGGGGATGGGGGTGCCAGGACCCCCAAATCTTCTGGCTTCTCCACTCAAGGCCTTTGACAATCTAAGGGAAGCAAGAGTGTCGCCGTAAACGTGAGATGTAACCACAGTCACCTCAAGGAGGCTACATGTGGGACAGATCTCCACACTCACGGGTCCTCTCCATCAACCTGTTTTCTACACTCAAAAGTGGATATACAGAGATCCATTTCGGGGTGGGGGCTACCTTTTCATTTTAAGAAGGAATGGGATGCCTCTTATTCAGTCTGAACGTCACTCAGGCAGCTTTAAGCCCAGAAGCCACCTGGGACTTTGCAAAGCTTCTAAGTCAAGGTTTTTCGATAAACGCTTAATTTCTTCCCTAGAAGAGGGTATAACAGACAGAGGGCCCTCTTGAACTTGGAGAGATACGACCCACTACGAGGAAGAAAGGCTGGGGCATTAAAGGGACTAGCGGCTAATGAGACAGATGTGTGGGCCAGAGGGAAAAGCCCAGCCCGGCTGCAGATCTGGTTCTGTCTAGCCGGCTCTGCCCCCTCGGGGCCTCTTCGAGCTTCCCCATCTGCACACCAGCACTTACCCACCCACAGCTTCAGGCCTACACGTTGTGGTCTCTGTGCCACAGTTCTACGTGTGTTTGGGCACCATTGTTGAATCCACAGACAAGAGTCAGGAGACCTGAGGTGACCTTGTCCTTACCAGGCACGCCCTGGGTCCCTTAAGTTAGACTTCGTACGTAGATGCTTAGAGTCTGCAGGCAAGCAGCACTGGGCAGGAGTCCAGGCTCACTCACTTTCTAGGGGTTGACCCTCACTCGGCAAGTTCCAGAGCTGCTCTAAGCCTCTGTCTCCTTGTCTGAAAATGGGGCTCCATTCTCATCCTTACCATGACTTGTGGTGATAACTACTTGAGGCAACCCAAGCCAAGGACATGACTATAAGTGGTTCTCATCTTTGACTTTATTATGATGTGGTGAGTATTCTAGTAGCTATAGGAGCCACTGGTGGCCTAGTGGTTACTCGGTGGGTTGCTAACTGCAAGGTCAGCAGTTCGAAACTGCCAGCTGCTTCTTGAGAGAAATATGGGGTTTTCTACGCTCATAAAAAATTACAGTCAAAAAAAAAAAAATTACAGTCTCGGGAACTCACAGGGTGGCGGTAGTTCTACTCCATCCTAAAGGGTCGCTATGAGAGTTGGCTCGGTGGCAGGAAGTTTGGTTTATGCTGCCAGATGGGAGTGAGCCATGGTATGTATCTGTAGTGAGCTGGGGAATCAGAAGTGGGACAAATGTAAATTACACATCGCCGCTCTCTGTCTCCCCAACCCAAGCCTTCCTCTTTCACACAGCATCTGCCCCTTGACTTTCAAAATATTTCAAATCATTTAAATCATGAACCATTTGAGTGTCAAGTGGTGAAAGCCATTTTGCTTCTCTCTTCTTCCCCGGTGAGCCCCTTCCTTCCTTCCTTCCTCCTCCTCAGGATGCGCCTCTCATCAACAGGGTCCCCCGAGTGCCCTGCCCTCTGCATGGGGATCCATCAAAATTTCCCAAGGCATTTTCGTAGCCTTTGGAATAGGACAGGATGAGGGCAAAGTGTGATGTTCCCTGGGGCATGTAGCAGGGGTCAGAATGACCTCCCCCTCTTCTCTCTGGGAACTTGAGGGGTAAGTGGCTCCTCACAGTCTCGGTTGCCATCTGTGAAATGGGACCAAGGATGGAACTTGCCCGTGGGCCGCTGAGAGGAATCAATTAGAGGATGGGTGCGGGTGATGACTGAGTTCTTGAAATTCTACTCTACCTGCTACCATACCCAACCAACACAATCAGTCCCACGAAGAAACTGGATAGTCACTCAGCAGGGTTCCCTGAGGCGAGGGGCCAGTCCATAAACAGTGTCCCCTCGAGAAACCAGCACCTTTTGGACCAAGTCTGGACTCGGCCCCCGCTTCCTTCTTGAATGTAAATCACATGAGATGTGTTCTCAAAAGTTCTTCCCATTTCCTCTTGTGAGAAAGACTTGCTTTCTGTATTCTTAAGCCCCCGTGGCTGCAAAGCGGAGTCTTGGTAGGTCGGTGCATTGACCAGAGCCCTCCACCAGTCCCCTCCTCCCCTTGCCGTGCCTGCATCAAAGTGGGATCATTCTTTGTGGCAGGGGGCTATCCTGCACATTGTGGGGTGTTGAGAGAGGGAAGAAAGTGTGCGATTGTCCCCAGTTGATCACCATTGGTCAATCTGATACATTAAAGTGAAGCTTGCATGGCCCCCGGCAGGGAGCTGTGAAGGGGTGAATCTCTCTGTGTCAGCTTGTGAAGGTTCTATATGGTTTTGGGGTCCAACCCACATGGCTGCTAAAGCCACCCCCACCACCCCAACCCCTCCCCGTGCCCCCCCTCCCCGCAAACTGTCAAAGAGAACCTGCCTCCACTGCCCACACCTCTGCAGTTCCTCCACCGCCACCTGTCAGCTGGCGCTGAGCTTCGAAGGGACAAGTCACAATTGCGTGCCTGTGTGGGAGAGACTTCTCGTTTGCCCTTCTCTGAGGCCCCCAGGGAACCTGGCCCAAGGCCAAGGTCACGCCAGTTATGGCTCAGTATGCGACGGAGGAGTGGGCTCCAGGAGAAAGGGGAAAGAGCCGAGAGGGTCTCTGGAGGCTGACAGGCCTACTTCCACAGGCTCAGGCCCAGACGTGTCTAGCTTCTCCAGTAATGGCCTTTCTGAACCCCACGGTCTCCATCTACAAAAGGGGACACTAACCAGGACTCCTTCAGAGCGCAGTCGGGGGACCCTAGATGAGATTGTGAGGGCCTGGTGCCTGGTGCCGACTGCACCCTCAGGATGTGGTCACTCCTAGGATGGTAATTTTTACTGTGGGGCACCACTTAGTCTATTTTTGTTTCATCGCATTCCCACTTGACCGAGTAGAGCGAGCTGCCCCACAGGGTGGCCTGACCTGTAGTCTTCACCGAAGCAGACCACCACGGCTCCCTCCCACGCAGTGCGGCTGGTGGGCTCCGACCAACAGCCTTGTGGCTAACCACTGCGTTAGCTTAACCCACGGTGCCATCAGGGCCCCTTAATCGTCTGAATCATCCCTACCAGTAGTTTGTTATCGATTAGGAATTGGCTGGCAGACTGGGCATCAAGGTGACTGTCGTGACTGCCGTGCTTGTTGCTGGAATCCCCTGGGCTGGGGTCCGAGCCCCGTCTGTAGGGTGAGGCGCCTTGGCCGAGGAGACCTCTGTGAGCCTGCGCTGGAGTTGGCAGGTGTCATGAGGTGCTGGGCCGCAGCAGTGGATGAGGGGACCCAGGGCTCTCTCCCCTTGGGCTCTCTCTTTATCTTCTTTTATTTAATTTTTAAAAAATCTTCTGCTTTTGTCTTCCTGAGGACCTCGGGAGTGAGGTCCAGCTTCTGGGACTTGAAAGCACTTCCCCCAGGAGCCTTGCTCCATTCCAGAGCACCAGCCAGGGGAATGTCCCCGTGGCCACATGGCCTCTTCCTGAAGCCGGAGCCTGAGCAGTGGCTGTGCCCAGAACAATTGAGGACCTGGCTTCCTCTCTGAGACCGGAAGGCAGCCCTCCCCGCACCCCCAACCTCAGGGCTGGGTGGAGGGCGCTTGGTGGTGCAGGGGCGGGCAGGGGCCG